AAAAAAAAAAAAAAAGAAACAGGACCCATACCTCACACCATACACAAAAATTAATTCAAAATGGATCAAAGACCTAAATATAAAACCAAAAACTATAAAGATCATACAAGAAAAATATGGTCATTGCTAAAGGCCCTAATACACGACATTAATAGGATACAAACCATAACTAACAATACATAAAGAACAGAAGATAAGCTAGATAACTGAGATCTTCTAAAAATTAAAAATTTACACTCATCAAAAGACCACCAAGAGTAAAAAGAGAACCTATAGACTGGGAAAAAAATTTCGGCTATGACAAATCTGAAAAAAGTCTAATCTCTAAAATCTACCAGGAAATCTAACATCTCTAAAACAAAATGACAAATAATCCAATTAAAAAATGAGCAAAGGATATGAACAGACACTTCCCCAAATAAGACATTCAAGGGGCTAACACGTATATGAGGGAATGCTCACAATCACTAGCCATTAGAGAAATGCAATTCAAAACCAAAATGAGGTACCATCTCACCCCAGCATTACTGGCACGAATCTAAAAAAACAGACAATAACAAATGTTGGAGACTTTGAGGAGAGATTGGTATTCTTATGCACTGCTGGTGAGAATGCAAATTGGTACAACAATTTTGGAAAATGATATGGTGCTTCCTTAAAAAGCTAGAAATAGAAATACTGTATGATCCAGCAATCTCAGTTCTATGAATATATCCTAGAGAAGTAACAGCCATCACACGAATAGACATATGCACACCCATGTTCATTGCAGCATTGTTCACATTAGCAAAAAGATGGAAACAACCTAGGTAGCCATCAACAGAAGAATGGATAAATGAACAATGGTACATACACACAATGGAATGTTACACAACAATAAAGAACAGTGATGAATCTGTGAAACATCTCACAACATGGATGAATCTGGAGGGAATTATGCTTAGTGAAATAAATCAATCAGAAAAGTACAAATATTGTATAAGGTCACTACTCTAAAAACTCAGGAAAAGGGTTATACCCAAAAGGAAACAATCTCTGATGGTTGTAAGGAAGGGGAGGGGTGGAGAGGGAAAAACACTAAGTAGACAATAGATAAGTGGTAAGTTTGGTGAAGGGTGAGACAGTACATGGTACTGGGGAAGGCAGCACACCTTGACCTACTGAAGGTGATGGAAACTCCACTTTGTTATTAGGTTCCATCGAGTCAGTTCCGACTCACAGTGACCCTATGTACAACAGAAAGAAACACTGCCCAGTCTTGCATCATCCTCACAATCTTTGCGATGCTTTGGCCCATTGTCACAGGCACTGTGTCAATTCATCTCAATGAGAATCTTCCTCCTTGTCACTGACCCTTTACCTTACCAAGCATGATGTCCTTCTCCGGGGATGGATCGCCCCTGATAACCTGTCCAAAATACGTGAGAGGTAATCTGGCCATCCTCGCTTCTAAGGAGCATTCTGGTTGTGCTTCTTCCTAGACAGATTTGTTCACTCTTCTGGCAGTCCATGGTATATTCAATATTTTTCTCCAATACCACAACACAAAGGCATCAATTCTTCTTCAGTCTTCCTTATTCATTGTCCAGCTTTTACATGCATATGAGGCGATTGAAAACACCATGGCTTGGTTCAGGCACACCCTAGTCTTCAAGGTGACATCTTTGCTTTTCAACACTTTTAAAGAGGTATTTTGCAGAATATTTGTCAAATGCAATACAGCTTTTGATTTCTTGACTGCTGTTTCCATGGGTGTTGATTGTGGATCTAAGTAAAATGAAATCCTTGACAACTTCCATCTCTTCTCCATTTATCATGATGTTGCTTATTGGTCCATTTGTGAGCATTTTTGTTTTCTTTATGTTGTGGCGTAATCGGTACTGAAGGCTTTGGTCTTTGATCTTTATCAGTAAGTGCTTCAAGTCCTCCATAGAACTCCATAGACACAACCAAAGTCTATGCGGGATCAAATTCTTGGGATGAGAGCTGTGAGGACCATAATCTAAGGACACATCTAGCCCAACTGGCATAAGATAGTTTATAAAGAAAATGTTCTACATCCTACTTTGATAAGTAGCATCTGGGGTCTAAAAAGCTTGTGATCAGTGGTCTAATATACTCCACTGATCTCACCCTCTGTGGAGCAAGAGAGAAAGAAAACCCAAAGACACAAGATAAAGATCAGTCCAAAGGAATAATGGACCACAAGTACCACAGCCTCCACCTGACTGAGTCCAGCACAACTAAATGGTGCGCAACTGCCACCATGGACTGCTCTGACAAGGATCACAAAAACGGGTCCCAGACAGAGCTGAAGAAAAATGTAGAAGAAAATTCTAACACACACATTCATGCATTAAAAAAAAAAAAAAAATAGATTTACTGGTAAGATAGTGACTAGAGAAACTCAGAGAGTATGGCCCACCAACTCCATTTTAACTCAGTTTTGAAGTCACTTCTGAGATTCACCTTCAGCCAAAGATTAGACAGACTCATAAAACAAAAAGTCTAAATGGACACACCAGCCCAGGAACAAGGACGAGAAGGCAGCAGGAGACAGAAAGTTGGTAACCGGGATCCCAGGTTCAAGAAGGGGAGAATATTGACATGTTGCCGGGGTTGCAACCAATGTCACAAAACAATATGTGTATTTATTGTTTAATGATAAATTAATTTGCTCTGTATACCTTTAACTAAAATTACAATTAAAAAAAAATGAGATACAAATTCAAAGTAGTGATCACTGTTCACTTAGGATAATTATCTCTAGTTAAGTCACATTTTATTTAAGTATCATTTTATTTTCAATTTTCAATTGTTTTACTGGAAATATTTACATGGTTCCAAAATTAAACTCGCAAAGCAATGTATATTCAAAAAAAAAAAAAAAAAACCCTGGGATTACTTTATTTCCTAAACTTTACTTTATTTCCTAAACTTTTTGCCTCCCTCTTGTTATATGTAACCATTTTTACCAATTTTTAATATATTCCTTCATTACTTTTTGTTATATATATATGTACATATATATTATTTTTCTGCCTGTTATTAATGTGCTCAACTGCTATTTTCACACAATATCATATCTTGGAGATCATTACACTGTAGTATATTAAAATGTTGAAATCTTCCATTCTCTTTTACAACTATATTTTATTTTAAAGTGTGGGTATACCTTATTAATTAAACTAGTATTATATTAATGAACATTGGAATTATTTTCCATCTGTTCATAGTCTAGGTGTTGCTACAATAAATGGTATATGCATACATTTTTTCATTGTTTTGCTAGTGTATCCTTGAGACAGATTCCTAAAAGAGGACATAATTTTACTAAATATGGCTAAATTCTTCCCTAAAAAGCTTGTACGATTTTTTTGTTTCTACCTGGTATGTATGAGACTGTCAAATAACCAATGGTCTAGCCAACAGAGTAGGTTATCAAGCTAGAAAAATGGTATTGACAAGCAGTCAATAACTGTAACCAAAGATTTTCCTAAGAATTGCAGAACTGAAAGAAAAATCAACTCTATATACAAGAGATCAGAACACTTAACAAGAAAAGAAATAACATAAAGAGATGAAAACTCTAGCGGCCATACTTAGAATATATTAGAAAAATAAACTTGTTACAGAAAAAATAAAAATTATTCACAGAAATGAAGCATCTAGAGGTCAAGATGGAGAAGAATTAGCAGAAATAAATAAAAAAGTGTTTGAATTAGAGAGAATATTAAAACTAAGTGAAGTAGAAAACAGACACTCGACATACGTGTAATTGGTGAGTTTAAAGAAGAAAATAAATGTACAGAATAGGAAAAATATGATTCAAAAAATATTACAGAATAAATAGACCGTGTCTCATGAAAAACTGGTATCAACATGTCAACACCAACACGTGTCCCCAAAACCCAAAAGTCGGAATCCCTTGCTGTTGAGTTGATTCTGACTGATTCTATAGGAAATTAGAACTGCCGCATACGGTTTCTAAGGGTGGATGGCCGATTCTAACTGCCGACCTTTTGGTTAGCAGCCAAACTCTTAACCACTGTACCACCAGAGCTCCAGATGTGTCCCAGAAAATTTTATTTGATTCAAAAATCCTCCAGGTATTTAGGCAAAAAGTTCCACATAAGAAGTACATATTTCACTGGACTCAAAATGCTACATAGCAGCATGCAATGCTAAATGAGAGTTTAACAATGCATATGAACTCAGGGAAGAACACTGACAATCAAGATGTACATACCTAGCCATTCAGATATCACACAAGTATTAAAATTCACAGAATATAATTATTATAAGTCCTTCTTTAATAATCTATTGTGACAAAGGGATTGGGAGTGAAAACATTATCTACTTAACTACAACACTAAACCTAAAACAACCTAGAAGTTATGGTTATTGAATAGAATGAAATGTTACAAAATATGAAAGTTAGAAACATATGCTGGTCAAAAGCAGGAAAATGCAGAACAGAATTTCAAATTCTTATGGAATCTAGCATTCCTGGCTGCATGGAGGCTGGATGAACTCTTGAAATGTTTTCCCTGCGATAATCCTTAAACCTAAAACCAAAAATATCCCATGAAGTCTTCTTAAAACAAAACAATAGTTTAGCTTAACTAGTAAAGTATATCTGCCTTGAGTATTATGCTCTGTGAAGTTCTTTTACATGGGATCAAATTGACACAAGAAACTTGACAGATTAGATAGGAAACTTAGTGGATTTTAGTTAATGGAGGAGGAATAGATCAGAAAAGGAGGGTGACAGTGGTTGCACAATTCAGAGAATGGAATCAATGTCACTGAATTGCAAATGTTAAAACAGTTGAAATGGAGTATGTTTGGCTGTGTATACTCTCAACCACAACAAAATACATAAAATAAATCACAAACAAAATAGAAAGAAATGGCTATACTCTAACAAAAATAGAGAAGTAAAGGAGCAAAGGTGGAAAGTTATAGTGCAAAGCGAAGGACTTTATTTTTTATAAATCATAAAGACAAGTACTAGGAATAATAATGTTTTGTTGTTGTTAGGTGCCATCGAGTTGGTTCCAACTCCTAGTGATCCCACGTACTAGAGAACCAAACACTACCTGGTCCTCCATCATCCTCATGATCATTATTATGCTTGAGCCCACTGTTGCAGCCACCGTCAATCCATCTCACTGAGGGTCTCCCTCTTTTTCACTGACCCTCTAGTATGCATGATGTCCTTCTCCAGCGACTGGTCCCTCCTGATACTATGTCCAAGGTACCTGGGACAAAGTCTCCCCATCCTCGCTTCTAAAGTGCCTTCTGGCTCTACGTCTTCAAGACAGAGTTGATTGTTTTTCTGGCTGTCCATACTATATTCAATATTCTTCACCAACACTGTATTTCAAAGGCATCAATTCTTCTTCAGTCTTCCTTATTCATTGTCCAGCTTTCACACGCATATTAGGCAATGGAAAACACCACAGCTTGCGTTAGATGCACCTTAGTCCTTAAAGTTTCATCTTTGCATTTTAATACTTGAAAGAAGTCTTTTGCAGCAGATTTGCAGCATGCAATATGTCCTTTGAATTCTTAACTGCTGCTTCCATGGGCAATGATTGTGCATCCTTGTAAAATGAAATCCTTGACAACTTCAATCTTTTCTCTGTATATCATGATGTTGCTTATTTGCCTAGTTACGAGGATTTTTGTTTTCTTTATGTTGAGGTGTAATCCATACTGAAGGCTGTAGTCTTTGACCTTCATCAGCAAAATGCTCCAAGTGCTCTTTGCTTTCAGTAAAGAAGCTTGTGTCTTCTGTAGGTTGTTAATGAGTCTTTGTCCACATAACCAGTCAAAATTGAGTTTATTGAAATATCTCATTTTGGAAACATATAAATACATTAAGTAATTACAAAACAAAATTAAATTTTAGAATACCAATTTTAAAAATAATAAAATGAAACAAATAAAAACAAATGGCATACGATTAGCAAATAACCACACAGAGAGGAACAATTCTGAGTGACTGAAAATCCAGTAATTTAACTGTATATCTTGAATAGAATCAACCTTATGAACAAATAGGATGCAAATAAATTTTAAAAAATGTTTTAGTAATTATGTTGTTGGTGGCAGTGTTGGTATTATTATTCTAAGACTATTGCTGTGTAATATAAGGTAAAGGAAATGAGTGCTTGTGTAGTTTTCTAAATCTATTACCCTTAATGCCCTTTAAAATCTGGTAAATAAAGAAAATGAATTAACCATTTATACCGCCTTCCCAATACAAACTGCGTTACCTTGTAAACAAATAACAGATGATGGGAATTTCTTTCATACATATATTCGAGCTAATAAATGAAGAATGAAAAAATATTACTATAATTTTGCAAGCCTCAATATGAATTAATAGATCTAAGCAGTGAGCATAAACAATTTCTACCATAATAAGAATAA